AAATTGTGCATCCTGCTCTTGTGTTCCATGTTCCTGACTTAAGGAAGACTATTGGGTTGGCAGTGTTCCGGGAACACACTAGTAACAGATTGTTAAATATATTGCTGCACAAAAACCACTCAGAAATTTGGTTCCCATTAGGAGAGAGGATCTTAAATGTTACACCATTTCTTTTTTAATTTACCTGTTGTTGGGTTGTTGCCATGTTGTTGCTGTTGAGAACACTGATGTAATAAGCATGAGAATATAGCCATCTCTTCAAAGTGCGTATAACTTCCACATGCACACACATGTGACCATATGCATACCCATGTGCACACACGTGCACATGTTAATAAAAGATTGTATCTGTAATTACTGTAAATAGACTAAACTCCTGCAAATGCAACATATAAAGTGATGGAATAGGTTAAAATACACAGAAAATCAAACTGCCTGCCAGAAATTCACTCCTGGTCCAAGAGTGTATATATGGGGAGGGGAAAAAACTGTGTGAATGTTAACCAAAGAAAAGCAAGCATAGCTCACACATACAGGCTTACTTAAAGTAGAGGTTAAGGGCAGGAGCTGTCTCTGAAGGCAGTGAAGGTCTTTACACAGTAATAAAAGTGTCAGAGGGGCTGTCAGCATGTCAGCTCCTATAGCAGAAAGGTTACATACATAAAACAAATACTGACAGACCTGACAGTGACACAAAACTCAACCCCGGTGCCTTACTTTCAGCTATGGGTAGATAGAGGTTCTACATAGAAGCCTTCGGTCTTCATTACTGTTCTTCTGCTGTAACAAGACAACATGTTCAAGGCAAACTTAGAAAGGAGAGCATTTGACTAGGGGCTTTCTTACAGTTTCAGAAGGTGAGTCCATGACCATCATGGTGGAAGGCATAAAGTCAGGTAGGCAGGCAGGCAGGCAGGTGCCAAAGACCAGGTTTGACATCAGAAGGTTAACTGAGGCAGGCAGAGAAAAGTGGTATGGCGTTAGCAATTGGAGTCATACTGATAGCAGCTGACGGGTCCACTGACAGCAATGGGCAATTTACAGGGTCAGTACTACTAATGGAACAAAACTTAACTATCTGGGGCTGGCAAGAATACTCAGTGAGAACCCTGAACTCTTTTCATTCTTAAGTGTCCATGCATATAGACAAAACAGATATCCACCTGGTAGATAAGGCTGAGGCCCCAAAGTCACACACTATTCCTTCTCTCTGGTGATTTATACCTTCTTAGACAAAAGTTCCTTATAAAATTACCTCATAGATAAAATGTTACACAAAGGGAGAGTTACAGAAAGATATCAATAGTAAGTTCAAAGCAGTGTTGCATTCTGTAAGCTCATTGTAAGTTCAAAGCAACAGTTTCCCACGGCCTTGCTTTATCATGGTGCACACCTGTGGCCTCATCTTGACCTGACCTAGAATGAATGTTTTTCCTTGATCACAAATCTGTCCCAAGCCTGTATCTCTTTTTAGTGTAATTTATGAAGGCTCACTGTATTCCTTATTATGCAGCCTTTGCTTACTATTCTGTGAGGAGGTGGCACATTCTATTCTTGATTCTAACTTTATTACATCTTTTGGCAAAACAACTAAAACCATTTTCTTAAACTTTCTTCTTAAAATTCTTTGAATCAAATTAGGGATTCTAGAAAGACATTAACTCATCGAAACAGCATTAGTTCACAAAAGTTCATCTTCATATTGATCTGCAGGAAATTTGCCCAATAGGGTGGGTTGATGCCCAGGAACTGTTAGGCTTGTAATAATGGCAGGAAAGGCGTACCAGCAGAGAGAAGCAATACTGGGATGAAGTCTCTGTGTCTATGCCTCTCCAGAGTGTTCCCCTTGCAGCCATAAAAAACTGTGGGCCATCTCCAGGAAACTCACTTGCTCGCCTTAACCTTTCCTAGATGGCTTCTGTCAGGCAGGCAGGCAGGCAGGAAGGCAGGCAGGCAGGGAACTGGAGCAGTAGCTACGGGCTTACATCTTCAAGCACAACGCAGAAAGAGACTGAGACAGGAACTGTTGTGAGCTTTTGAAACCTCAAAGCCCACGCCCTGTGACACACCTCCTCCACTAAGGCCACACCTCCTAATCCTTCCTAAACAATTCACCAAATGGGATACAAACATTCAGATGGCCTATGAGGGGTGTGGTTGGGAAGGACGATCACATTCAAAACACCAGAACCAACAAAGGAACAGAAGAGTTAGAAAGCATTGTGGATCAGTAGACCCAATAGACATGCACAGAATGTTCTACCCAACAGAAGATCACCCAATGATCACCCATCTTCTCCACAATAGACTTCATGTGAAAACACAAATCTCAACAAAGCTTGAATCGTACCAAATGTCTTTTCTGACTACAATGGAATGAAATTTTTTTTAAAAAAAAAAAACAATAACAGAGAGAAAAATGGGGGAAATGGTGAAATTGCTACTGGATTTTCCATTTGTCAGGGGCTTGGTCAAGCCACCTCATCTCTCTATACAGAGCAGGTCTCCACCAGGGACTCTGAAGTCCCTGAGAACCCTACTCCTGTGACAGCTCAATCATGTGGGAACCTCTTTACAAAAACTTGGGGTTTCCTTGGCTCAGAGTAGCTAAGTTCCAAGAACAAATTAACTAGAAGAAAGCTCTGTTGCTTTTTATGCAGTTGGCTTGGGCGTCATATAGTACAGCTTTTGCTGTGGCCACAGACCCTGCTGGACAGCAGGGAAGCAGTCATTAGTATGTGCTTCTCTGTGGGAAGAACTCTCTTATAGCATTGTAAGAAGTGTGAGGAGAGACATTTCTGAGTAGATCCTTGGAAAAATACCTTAGTCTACACTGAAGCAGGTTCATATCCAATCCTGTTTCACCGTCGATTAGGAAGTCTCATGGGGCACACTTGATTACACCGTAAAAATTGAGAGGTCTGTCCAAAGATGGGTGGTGGGATCCGAGAACTGGATTGACAGAGGTTTGAACGACAGGGCCCCAAACTTGAAGTATGTTTGTCACAGAATAGATTGAGATCCCATTCCCTCCTCAGTTCTTAACTCTGTCAGTTGCCACCTCTGAAGCCACCTCTTCCCATCACCACCCCTGATGCCATCTCTCCCACTCCCATACTTCATCCCATGTTGTCTACAAAAGGCTCATTTTCAATCAAGGGTGCACCCGGTGATGGAAAGAGCTCATGAGACAAAGCTGGAGTAGCTCACGTGCATCTTGGGGGAAAATAGACTGAATCAGGTCCTGTCACTACAGACAAAGTCATTACATGGTTATTCAAAGGTTCCAACCAACAAGCAGATTCCAGGTTTATAATAAATATACACCTAACATTGGAAGAGCCCACATCTATCTCACTTGCCTATAAAGTTAGATTCATGATCAGAAATTTTTTTTTTGAGGGATGGTTTTTGAGGACCTGATGTTAGAAGATTGAGAGGATGAATCTAAAGGAAAATAAAAGGTGAAATCAATATAAAGTCAAGTGAAAGCCCTAGCAGGGCCATGCTTACAATGGACCAACAAGCTTAAATCAACTTGTTAAGGGTGTCTTTATTCTCATTCTTGTAAAACTCATGGGGCCTTCCTTCCACTTCTCACTTAAATGTCTACACATCTCTCCTGTTTTCCTGTTGGTGGTGATGAGATATCACTGAAGTCTTTTATTGAAGCTACTTTGGAACTTGGCTTTTCCCTTGCTCCGGTAGGGTCCAAAAGAACACAGGAAGCTGCTCTTTCCCCAAGACATCCATGATAATTGAGGAAGGGAATGTTGGCTGGGACATTTTATTCTTTTGGAAATGTGGCATGCGAGTATGAATTTCCATGGGCAAAACTACCCTGTCTGGTAGAGTCTAGACTTTCTATTAGCCAACAGGCTTGCTGGACTCCATACTGGCACCCTGGGAGGCCATGTGGACTGGGAGTGTGGAAGGGAACGTGCTACCTAGAACTGTGCTTGGATATGAAGGGGGACAACCTCATGGACTTGAGCATGATCTTTGAAGGGGTTTGAAGGTTGGTAAATCAAAGCTAGTGAAGGACAATGGGCTCTCCTTTCCAAATCCTTCTGAAATGGTAAAACAGTGGGAGCTGTGGAGCACTTCCATTGTCTAGTAGGGAGGACGTTCTCCATGGATCATAACATCAGAGAGATGGAGACAGCAATGAGGAACCAATGCTTGCATCCTCCTACTTCGGAGGAGTTGTAGCCTCAGCCAGTGTTGCTCTCCATCGCATGGCCAACCGTCACAGGTGGGCCCATACTCCAGAGCATCCCTAAATGCTGAATGTTTGAGTCACTGAACTTAAGGCCCTGCACTGAGTGGAGCTTTGGCTGCCGAGGGTCAGCTCTGGTGAGAGAAACAACATTCTCTGCTTAACCTCCAACTGCTAAAATCATCCCTGTCATCTTACATTCTCAGTCCTAAAGCCCGAACACCTTTGACATTTCCCTCTGGGACTAATAATTCAACATGGCCCCATTGCTTGTGTAGAGAATGGTTCAAGGAAAGACTTTGTTCCTCCCCAAGAGAAATCCTAGAAGAAATGAACAGACTGGTGTCTCAGGATACTTTACACGGATGGTTGGTCACTGACGTCTTAGACCAGCACATGCTGAGAGGTATTTGTCATGCATGGCCACGGCTGGCTTTCCTAGAGCACCAGGAATGCAAACTGAGGTGTTGAGGCTGGGCACAGGGAAGTTTTCTTACCTACTGAGCCATTTCCCCTGCCCCGCTAAATGCTTCCAGAAAGAACTACACGAAGCACTCAGTAACTTGAGCAATAGAACAAGGGAGGTGCCCATGGCCTCAGGACCACTATTGACAGGGATTCCATGGAACCTTGAAGAAGTCCTCTCCACATACCAGGGAGTTGGATTCCATTCCTGGGGTTAGAGGAAAGTGCCTGGAGGGCACTGGTTTACAAAGAGATAGCTGGCCATTGTTTTTGTTCATTTAAATTCTGTACTAACATCATATCTTCTCTCCCACAGACAGTTTTTGAAAGGAATTGCCGATCTGAGGACTGTGCTGCTGACCTGCAGCTCCAGGGGAAACTGCTGCTTTCCAGGTATGTCACAGCTCCTCCATGACACTGTCCCAAGAACTTGCTCTCTTTTGACTCCAGACTGCAAACCTGGAAGTTCAGATTTCCCCAACAAAATAGGAATACGCAGTATTGATGAGTTAGGATAGTTTGTGAGTTGGTTTTAGACTGTATGCTATAAATGCTAATTTAATAGCAGATATTACCAGAGGGATTAGCTGAGGTACCATTTGCAATTCCATCCCATATAACAACTGACTGTTCCCTATGATTTCGGTGTTTGTTTATGTGTTGGGAAGGGACTTGACATTTATCACTTTGGATTACATTGCACGATGGGAAACTGCCAGAATTTGACCTTTGGGGATGGTTTCATGTGACTTAAGGTAGTATTATTTGAAGATCCCTTTCATCTTTTTTCCCTGGCATTTAACAGTGGTGTCTGTTTTAGCAGTGAACAGTTTCTAAGGCAGGAAGGGGTGAAGGAAGGGGGCAGCCGGACTGCTGATGCAAGCAAACAGTGTCTTTATTATTTCAGGCCTTCCTCCCATGGTCTGCAAATCCCCCCTGGCCAGGGATGAACCAGACCAAAGCCTTCTGTTTCCCCTTTGCCAACCCTTTATTTTAGACTTCTTTTAGAATGACGGCACTTATCCTGAATCAGCCACAGAGCACACAATGGTTTCCTTTTGTAACACGCCTTCTGAAAGATTATAGTAGCTTTGGGGCCAAGAACCTCCTCTGCAAGATCTGTAGCCACTTTTCAAGCAAGTATCAGTGTCAATAGATACTGTGTAAAATGTTTCATTGTGTACCTTCCCTTACCCAAAACATTGAGATAAGTTTGAATCAGTGATGATTGACAGCTATGACCTTTCTTTTTTTTCTTTTGTTTTCTTCCTTTCTTCCTTCCTTCCTTTCCTTCTTTTTCTTAAAGATAGTCTTACATAGCCCAGGTTGGTCTCTAACCCCCTTCTGTTTCAGCCTCTAGGCTGCTGGATTACAAGTGTTGCATCACTATATCTGGATCGAGTGCTACAGTGTTTTCATTTTTCTGTGTGTTTATAGGTGTAGGTGCGTGGGCATACACAGGTGTGCATGTGGAGCCAGAGGTCTCCATCAGATGTGACACTGTTGTGTCAGGGACTGTACAGCTGTTTTCTGAGAGAGGGCTCTCTCACTGGCCCCATGACCATGGACAAGTTTAAAAGCTGTCCTGCAGGATTGCCTGCCTCCCTCTCCACAGTGTTAGAATTACTAGCACGCAGCACCATGCCTGGCTTTTTTATGGGTTCTGGGAGCAAACTAAAGGTTTACCTGCATGAGCACTTCACCTACTAAACCATAACCTCAGTCCCATGCTCTTATTTTGGGTTTTTAATAATATTTTATTCATCAAAGGAAAATCAAACTGAGATTCCATTCTTTAGTTGAAGTGTACCTGAGAAAGTGGCATAAACCTCAAGACCCCACCCCCAAGTGTACACACACACATGCTTCTCCTGACAACGTCTTAGATGCTAATTGGCTTTGGTTCTGCTCTGGAAGAAGTGTGGCTTAAAGTAGCACATGCTTTTCTAAGCTTGGGAAATTGCTTTAGACGCATAGAGTGGGTAATGGGCTGTTTAACAGTACGAGGAGCCTCCTGGGATACTTAGAGACATCAATTTTAAAGAAGGTTCATAAATTATCAGCTCATTCATTTTAATTTTAGGTGTGTCTTCCAAAAAATGTCTTTTAGGGAAAGTACGTGAGTTTCTTTTTATGTTGAACTAGACTGTAAATGCTGGGGTTTATTTTGGATCATAGAAGACTCCATGTGGTAAGAAAATATCCACTTGATCCATGGTTAAACATTGCTAGGAAAGTTCTGGCGCCCTTGCTGGCCGTTTGTTAATTGTGCTTTCTGTGTAGCAAGATGGAAAACTCGAGGACTGTGGTCAGCAAAGCACTTTTGGCTGAAGTTGCTTCCGTTGCTGGCCTTTCGAGAGCACTGTCATCGAAGCATGGCGAGAAAAACCCAAGGGTGTGATAGTAGTCCCCGTGAAATCTTAAAAATGTGCTCACCTAAACAATGGTGACATCAGTTGACATCACAGTGTGGATGCAAACAATCAGATAAGCCCCACCCCAGCAAAAAGAGCTACAGGCAATTAATGGCTGCTGAGAGAGAGAGAGAGACAGAGACAGAGACAGAGACAGAGAGACAGAGAGACAGAGAGAGACAGACAGAGAGACAGAGAGACAGAGAGACAGAGAGACAGAGAGACAGAGAGACAGAGATAGAAACAGAGACAGAGACAGAGAGAATCAGCCTTCTCCAGGTATGAGTCCCTTGGTAGGTTAGCTAGTCCCAAATGGGACTAAACACCTACAGGTAACACTAAGTGTACTCACCAGGTTCTCTCTCTGGAGGGGGAGGTGTATGTGTGTCTGTGTGTATGAGAGAGAGAAAGACAGGCAGACAGAGAGCGACAGAAATGAGACAGAGATGGGGAGGAAGGGAGAGACAAAGAGGGAAGATCTCAATGGTATTAGTGGCGGCCATTTCGGCGACCATTTCTTCATATGGTGTGCATGTCGTATGTACTTGGTTACATTCAGCTCTATCTTCAGTCATTCACCCATGCATCTGAGTCTGCTGAGGGCTAGATCCCAGGCTTGGCTGTCCCAGCTTCCCTCTGCCCTTCCATTGTCCTTCTGGAACAAGTAGGCTCAGGTGGGCATACTCCTCTCAAGGAATGTCAAACTTGTTTGAAGCCAGCACAAACAAGCAACGACTCCTCAGGCCTGGGCTCAGAACCGGGACGTTTGTGACTCTGGGCTTGTTCGGTTTTCTACTGCCCGTCACATGGCCAAACTCAAACTCAATGGATGGAAAATATTTTCTGCCTCTTCAGTGAGTGGATTTCAAATTTTATGGGACACGGCGTGAAGATAGCCCAGGGAAAGGATAGTCACCCATGATGTGATCTGCCGTGCTCCCTACGGAGCAAAGTAGCCTCATCTCTTATCCTGAAACCGTAACACTTTCAGGGTAAATTTACCCTTTCTTGGAACTTCATCAACTTCAGGACAGAGACATAAGCTCTGACACTGGATGAGGTCTCTGAACCTCAGAGCAGTGTTCTTAGGGCCCTAAGCCAATAGTTAGGAATTAGGTATTGTCCTACAGGACCCATGGTCTCTTTCCATGGCCAGATATCCCATGAAAGAAACCTTTGTGATGCTCTTAAAGCCCCTGGTTTCCCACAGGAGGTGTCAGGGAAACATACCCGTTTATAACTGGGTGAGTGGAGACGTAAAACCAAACCACAGACTTCCGAGCCAGGCAGATGAGGGAAGGCACAGCCAGAAAACAGTGATGAGAGCCAGGCTCTAGACTGGATTCACTACAGTTTAGAGCCTTGAGGCACAGGAAGTTTTACTTGTTATTAAATAACCTCTCTCTGTCCGTTATTGCCTCAGGTGCAACGCACACGCATTTCTTGTTTGAGCAGTTACTATGAACAGCTGCAGAAATGAATGGGAGGTGGACACTACTCTCCTGGTCCGTAGTCCAGGCAGTATATGGCCAAGGGACTGGCTGCTGGTGGTAGGTGTGAGACAAAAGGTGGATAGGCTCTCACAGAGGAGCAGCTCCAGAAGCCTCACATCAAGGAGAGTGGAGGTAACTGAGGCACTCTGGGTAAAGAGGGAATGTGAGCAGTTCTCCCATGAAGAACGGCAGCATCTAGGGTTGCAGAGCTGGTTAGAAGCAAGATGAGGCAGAAGGAACAGAGGAATTGGATCGAAGCATACTCAGGAGTTGGGGCTGCATCTTGAAGGCAGGGGAGGATACGAAAGTCCCAGGAGAGGAGCGTAATCCTAGCAGGGATTCAGCAAGTTATGCTCTGGGGCCTGGCGTGTAGGATATTGTGGTGGTAAGGGTCCTTTGGTCTCCTGGGCTCAAAAATAGCATGTTCTACCTAGAGCTTTGAGCCTGTTGCTCTTTCCATAACCTCAATTCCAACTTGCTTGGCAAAGGTCTTGAGGCATAGATATCAACTGTCTCAAGAGGATGGGGGGGGGGCGAGACTTGTGGGGGCTGCCAGGGTTATCACCACAATGGTGCTCCCGAAGGTTTCACCAGGGAATTTTAAATAGAGCTTTGGTCTTTCACACATTGTTAGAACCTAGCTGTGTTCTATGCCCTCACTAGAGGAAGCTGAAGCATAGCAGTATAGGAAGCATACCTGTGATAGCTGGGCCGAGTGTGGAGTTTGTCTTATGGAGGTAGATGGATGGGCTAGAGACACGGCTCTCTCTTTAATAAGAGTGTTTATTGCTCTTACAAAGGACCCGTAGGATACCAAGTTCAGTTGCCAGCTCACAGCTGACTGACTCCAGCTCCATGGTATCAGGCACCCTCTACCTGCCTCTTTGGGCACCTCTGTCCATGCCTATCCACTGCCGTATCCCAACACACACACAGACAAAATTATAAATAATGTTTTAAAAAGAAAGTAGAGGACGCTACGCATTTTCTTTCCCTCGGTGACTAAGATATAGGCCACTTTACACCAAACTTAAAGCAGATAAAAGCAGACCTATTAGGAGGCAGCTCCTGGTGGGCTTACGGATTTCACAGGTAGAAGTCAGTGACGTCACACATCTGGGCTAAAGCAAGGGATTTTATAGAGCCTAGGCGAGGAATGATGACAAGCCAACTAGGACGTGGAATAGTGTCCATATATGGTCAAAAACTGAGCCCCTGGGCAGGCACTCTTGGTTGGGTTGCCGGAAACGAGGAGATGAGGAATGATGACGTGTTAGCCTGGAGTTTTCTCTAAGCAGGGGGCCGGGGGGCGGGGCAGCAGAATTTTCTCTGTGTGGGTGGGGCTAGAAGGAGGAGAGCAGATGGGGTTTCCCAGCCTGTGCAAAGGATATGCAGGAGTTCCAGCCTAACAGAGGGAAAAATGTTGGAGTGAACGGGTTACCCAAAATCGCCAGGGATAATGGCTTTGTCTGCCCAAGATCATGGA